TCCTCTAGAGCTGGACAAGTTTCTGGAGGATGTGAAGTAAGTGTTACCAGTTAAAGCAATAATGTAAAAAAGTAGCCTGTGGTTTTTGTGGTTTGTAATGTGTACATGTGCATTTTACCGCTCAAGGAATGGCATTTACCCTCTGATGAACTTTGCGTCCACTCGACCCCATCCCGTACCTCGTGCCCTCTCCATGTCCCAAGAGCAGGTGGAGACAGTGAAGACCCCCACGCCGGAGCCGCAAGAGGCTGAGACCAGGAAGGTGTGTGTTCTCATCAAAGCACATTTACTGTATAATAGTTCAGTTATTTCTTAGTTAATCTTAAGTTGTCATTCTAGGTGGTACAGATGCATTGTAACCTGGAGTCTAATGAAGATACTACTAAAACTCATGTGAGTTTGTCTCAGTTTAGTACACATGCTATTTTGTTTAAAGATTCATCCAAGAGCAATCTTGATCAGTGACACAGTGGTGTTCGAATGGGATTGTGATTCTCTGTTTAGTTCTTTGTGTCTCTGGTGATTCATCTACATTTGTTTTAATTGTTATTAATGATAATGCAGACTATTATACTCATGTTAAGGGGTAAACATGGCAACATCTGTTGAATCAGTGGCAAATGAACTGATATCTGCTGTTTTCACAGCTCACTCTTTTCTTGAAACTGGATGATAAACTCCACCGGCAGCTCAGCTGTGATATTATGCCAAGTGAGTTTAACCGCATTTACTTTTTTTTGCAAATATATTTTTCATCATCTCTTCACCACATGCTAAAATTTAATGGCACCCAACAATGCAGTAGTATGTCACTACTGCATTGTTGGGTGGCATTATATTTAAATTTATACTTAAATTTTTATGGCGTTAAAAAGTGAATAAATAAATATAAAAATTTTATTTCACATTATGATATTTTAATCTTTAGTGTTTTGTGACTCAGAACTTACTTAAACTATTAAATTATATTTATTTAGTTTTTCAGCACATGAAATAAAGCTGGAATAAAATAATATATAAATATTAGATGAAAAAACTGTTGCATTAGCAACTTACTTAATGTTTTATTAATAAGTACTAACAGTTCTGAAGCGGAAATAAAAATGAATGAAAGCTCAATAAAAGTAAAATAAAAATGCAGAAAGTACAACAGAATTGCTGAAACTTAAACTATAATTTAAAATAGTTTAAGTTTTAGTAAATCTGTTGTGCTTTAGTCATTTTATTTTTTATATAAAATATATATTTAAAAACTCCAAATATCAATAAATATTATAAAAATATAAAAAACAACACTGGCTTGGAACAACACAAACTATTCATTTCCTCATTAATTTGTGTATTAGCTTTTGAAATTTGTATTTAAATATTCAAACATACTTATCAATATTTAAATATATTGACTATAATTTGAAGTCACGGTGTTCAGTGATTGGTTCAGATTTAAAATATCATGTACTGAATGCTGATATGTGGTCATTACAGATGACAGTTCCAGAGATTTGGTCAATGAACTTATCCATCATTCCTTTATCAGTGAGGTGAGACTAAAAAACACACTTATTCCCACTACATACTGCAAATGTCCTATTTTCACTATGTTCATCATCTCAAAGCATATCAGTATCATTTCTTGCATGTGACATGAAATCACATGGAAGCAGCAGCTACAGCTAAATGTTCACTGCTTGTTTAAACTTCTTGTCCTATGCCTATATTTTGCCATCAATATCCACAGGAGGATGGTGACAAGATTGTGGCATTCCTGGAGGAAGCTTTGAGCCGACACCGTGGGTCTGCTAGCGCCATAACAACCATATGAATGACAATGGTCTGTTGCGATGGCGATGGACATTTACATGCCAGTGGAACCTGAGAGGGAGGCCCGCCAACAGAAGAAGAAGGACAATGGAAACGAACGATCCAGTTTGTCAGTTAGTATGGATTATTGAAATTGTGGTCAAAAAAGATGACAGAATATGGCATACTGGTTTTATGACAGCATGTGATTGACCAGGTTAGGGGGCACCAGAAATGTCCATCTAAGATGATTGTGCTACCCTCCCCGAGTCTCCATCCAGCACTTCCAGGTGTCACTGTAGGAACCGTCCTTCCCACAATCCCATTGGATGCTTAAGGGCAATTCGGCCTCTTTTGAAGAAAGTCGTATGTGGTGTAGGTAGGAGGTGTCTGCTGTGGAGAGCTCAGTAGATGAAAAAAAAGTTTAGAAAAAACTAATTTGATACAGTTCATTATTGCCAATCTTCTTCATTTTGTGACGTAAACACAGAAAAACTATTGTTAGGCCAGAAACATACTCTACGCAAGTATGCTAATACAGATGCCAACACATTGCAAGTCCGTTTTTATGTTACTGTGGTGTTAAAAAACCTCAGTACTCGGTGATAGAGTTGCACTATATATGCCATTAAACCAGCTATAAACATCAGAAGTTAAGCTTAACAAGTTTTCTCTTCAAACTGTTGCTCTGCCATGAAAACAGTTTACACTAATGCTAATGCTCCGATAGTGGCAACGCTAAGAATGCAATGTCTGTTTGTCTTATGAATTGTGTTCGGCCACATTTTTT